GTCTGACCTTGACCTTAGTTTCATGGTTCATTGCTCATAGTTAAGTTTTTGTGTTTTGGTCTGTTTTTCTTAAACTATAAGCAATAGGTCAACTATATTTGGTGTATGGAATGATTGTAAGGTGTATATGTCTGTCTGGTAGGTATCATCTGACCTTGACCCCATTTTCAAAGTTCATTGGTCAATGTTAATTTTTATGCGACTGCAGAAAAATTTTGCGGTCGTATATTGGTATGACGTTGGCGTCGTTGTTGTCGTCCGAAGACACATTGGTTTTCGCACTCTAAATTTAGTTTAAGTGAATGGATTTCTATGAAAGTTTACCATAAGGTTCAATACCACAAAAGGAAGGTTGGGATTGATTTTGGGGGTTATGGTACCAACAGTTAAGTAATTAGGGGCCAAGAAGGGGCCAAAATACATAAATTGTGTGTAAGTGTATGGATCTCTCTGACATTGTACCACAAGGTTCCATATCACAAAGGAAAAGCTGGGATTGATTTTGGGGGTAATTGCCTCCAAATTTTAGGAATTAGGGGCCAAAAAAGGGCAAAAAAACCAAGCATTTTTGTCGAGCCTTCAACTTTTGTCGAAAAAGCGAGACATAGCGATCCTACATTCCGTCGGCGTCGTCGTCGTCGTCGTCAGTGGCGGCGGCGTCCACAAATATTCCCTCTGTGGTTAAAGTTTTTGAAATTTTAATAACTTTCTTAAACTATCATGGATTTCTACCAAACTTGGACAGAAGCCTGTTTATGATCATAAGATAATATTCAAAAGTCAATTTTGTAAAAAAAAAATCCATTTTTTCCGTATTTTACTTATAAATGGACTTAGTTTTTCTGCCAGGAAACATTACACTCACTCTGTGGTTAAAGTTTTTGAAATTTTGACAACTTTCTTAAACTATCCTGGATTTCTACCAAACTTGGAAAGAAGCTTGTTTGTGATCATAAGATAGAATCCAGAAGTAAATCTTGTAAAAAAAAAATCCAGTTTATCCGTATTTAACTTATAAATGGACTTAGTTTTTCTGCCAGTTTACATTACATTCACCCTGTGGTTAAAGTTTTTTTTAAATTTTAACAACTTTCTTAAACTATCCTGGATTTGTACCAAACTTGGACAGAAGCTTGTTTATGATTAAAAGGTAGTATCTAGAAGGGAATTTTGTTAAAATTTTGTTCCATTTTTTCCGTATTTTACTTATAAATGGACTTAGTTTTTCTTCCAGTTAACATTACATACAGTCTACAGTTTAAGTTTTTAAAACATTTATTAGATTCATAAACTATCCTGGATTTTTACCAAACTTGGACAGAAGCTACTTACAATCAAAAGATGATAGTATAGAGAGGAATATTTTTATTAATTTTTTTCCTCATTTTTGTTGAGCCTGCAATTAACAGCAAAAGTAGGCGAGACGCTGGGTTCCGTGGAACCCTTACGAATTTTTCTAGTTTCATGACAATAACTTGTGTGTAAGTGTATGGATCTTTATGAAATTGTACTACAAGATTTCATATCACAAAGGGAAAGATGGAATTGAGTTTGGGGGTAATTGCCCAAAAGGTTTAGGAATAAGGGGCCAAAAATAAGCATTTTTCTAGTTTCCAGACAATTACTTGTGTTCAAGTGTATGGATCTCTCTGAAATTGTACTGCAAGGTACCATACCACAAAGGGAAGGCTGGGATTGATTTTGGGGGTAATTGCCTCCAAATTTTAGGAATTAGGGGCCAAAAAGGGGCAAAAAAACAAGCATTTTTCTAGTTTCAGGACAATAACTTATGTGTAAGTGTATGGATCTTTATGAAATTGTACTACAAGGTTCCATATCACAAAGGGAAAGCTGGGTTTGAGTTTGGGGGTAATTGCCTTAAATGTTTAGGAATTTGGGACCAAAAAGGGGCCAAAAAACAATCATTTTTCTAGTTTCCAGACAATAATGTGTGTTCAAGTGTATGGATCTCTCTGAAATTGTACTGCAAGGTACCATACCACAAAGGGAAGGCTGGGATTGAGTTTGGGGGTGATGAATCATAAGGGGGTTCAAAAAATTTGGGGGGGGATTTTTTTTTCCTTTTTTTTCTTTAAAATTTTCCATTTTAAATTGGTTATTTCTGATTTATATATAAAAGCAAATAATAATGATATGGTTTGAATAGGTAAATTAAAAAAAATTTAAGTTCTTAGACCACATTCATTCTGTGTCAGAAACCTATGCTGTGTCAAATATTTAATTACAATCCAAATTCAGTGCTGTATCAAGCTTGAATGTTGTGTCCATACTTGCCCCAACTGTTAAGGGTTCGACCTCTGCGGTCGTATCAAGCTGCGCCCAGCGGAGCATTTTATTCATGATTAAGTTTGTTTCTTAGAAACTAGAAGTAATAGGTCAACTATATTTGGTGTATGGAATGATTGTAAGGTGTACATGTATTTCTGGTTTGGTTTATCTGACCTTGACCTCATTTTCTTGGATCATGTTAAGTTTTTGTGATACTTGTAGTTAAGCTTTGTATTTAGGACTATCAACATAAAATCAATGGTCAGTAAAGCAGGTGAGACATTTCAGCGTGTACACTCTTGTGAAAATTGTGATAGATAGACACACTTTATATAGCAAACATAATCAGCAAGACAAGATCTGCTCCTTATTAGAGTAATTGCCCTTTAATGACGATTTTTTGCCATTTTTTTTTTTTGCGTTTTTGTCTATTATCTTGGAAATTATAATAGATAGATAAAACTTTTATAAGAAAAAATGATCAGCAGGTCAAGATCTGCAAATCTGTTTTGATCAGCTGTCTTCTTCAAATAGTTAATTTCCTTAAATGACGATTTTTATTCCTTTTTAGCTCACCAGGCCCGAAGGGCCCCATGTGAGCTTATGCCATTGTCTGTCGTCGTCGTCTGTCGTCGTAAACTATTTCAAAAATCTTCTCCTCTGAAACTACTGGGCCAAATACCTTCAAACTTTAACTAAATGTTCCTTAGGGTATCTAGTTTATAAATTGTATCCGAAGTTTGATCCATCGACAAACATGGCCGCCATGGCTAAAAATAGAACATATGGGTCAAATGCAGTTTTTGGCTTATATCTCAAAAACTAAAGCTTTTAGAGCAAATCTGACAGGGGTAAAATTGTTCAATTGGTCAAGATCTATCGTCCCTGAAATTTTCAGATGAATCGAACAACCCATTGTTGGGTTGCTGCCACCGAATTGGTAGTTTTAACAAAATTTTGCAGTTTTTTGTTATTATTTTGAATATTATTATAGATATATATAAACTGTAAGCAGCAATAATGTTCAGCAAATTAAGATCTACAAAAAAGTTAATACGACCATAATTGTCAATTGACCCCTTAAGGAGTTATTGTCCTTTAAAGACAATTTTACACAATGTGTTCAAGTTTGCTAACATTTAAAAATCTTCTCCTCTGAAACTAATGGGCCAATTACCTTCAAACTTTAACTAAATGTTCCTTTGGGTATCTTGTTTATAAATTATATCAGAAGTTTGTATTCATCGACAAACATGGCCGCCATGGCTAAAAATAGAACATAAGGGTCAAATGCAGTTTTTGGCTTATATCTCAAAAACTAAATCTTTTAGAGCAAATGTGACATGGGGTAAAATTGTTCAATTGGTCAAGATCTATCGTCCCTGAAATTTTCAGACGAATCAAACAACCCATTGTTGGGGTGCTGCCACCGAATTGGTAGTTTTAACAAAATTTTGCAGTTTTTGGTTATTATTTTGAATATTAATATAGATATATATAAACTGTTAGCAGCAATAATGTTCAGCAAATTAAGATCTACAAAAAAGTTAACATGACCATAATTGTCAATTGACCCCTAAAAGAGTTATTGCCCTTTAAAGACAATTTTACACAATTTGTTCATCAAGTTTGCTAACATTTAAAAATCTTCTCCTCTGAAACTAATGGGCCAATTACCTTCAAAATTTAACTAAATGTTCCTTAGGTTATCTTGTTTACAAAGTGTATCCGAAGTTTGTTTCCATCGACAAACATGGCCGCCATGGCTAAAAATAGAACATAAGGGTCAAATGCAGTTTTTGGCTTATATCTAAAAAACTAAATCTTTTAGAGCAAATGTGACATGGGGTAAAATTGTTTAATTGGTCAAGATCTATCGGCCCTGAAATTATCAGACGAATCAAACAACCCATTGTTGGGTTGCTGCCACGGAATTGTTAGTTTTAACAAAATTTTGCAGTTTTTTGTTATTATTTTGAATATTATTATAGATATACATAAACTGTAAGCAGCAATTATGTTCAGAAAAGTAAGATCTACAAAAAAGTTAATATGACCAAAATTGTCAATTGACCCCTTAAGGAGTTATTGCCCTTTAAAGACAATTTTACACAATTTGTTCATCAAGTTTGCTAACATTTAAAAATCTTCTCTGAAATACAGGTGAGCGATTCAGGCTCTTGAGAGCCTCTTGTTTGTGTTTGTAGAAGATAGATAGAAACTGTGAACAGAAAAATGATCAGCTATATAGATCAACAATATAGGGATTTTATAGTCATGAATAATATTCTAGTCTACAATGGCGGAGAGTGTCCACTGATGAAGATGCACATAGACCTAGGTGAGCAACACATGCTCTTTAGAGCATCTAGTAATCTTATCCTAGTAATGGACTTTGGATATTATTAATAATCAAAATATCATTTCAGTCTATACGCCGTAAAACAGAATTTTCATCTATTTTGATGGGGGCTAAATCTATCAACAACTTACATATTTTTTGAAATACAAGTTGGGTTAGAATTCTTTGTTGTATATGCTTAAGTTATTTAAGTGGGCCAAATAGATTATTTTCAAATCGTTCGTGCATTCAATTTTAAATGAATTAATGTATCGTTTTCACACAGTTTGCGACCGGCGGTTGAACGATCTTTTGTTTTTAACTGACGCACAATTAACTTAAACAATTAGTTCAAATAATTACCAAAGCAGAAAGTATGTGTTACAATATATAAAACTTAAAACCAACTTACGTTTTCATCATATTAGGTTTGTTACCTTAACACACAGGTAAGTCAGTGTTTCTTTTTAATAAATAAATAATAATTTTATGAAATAACCCTTTTTTTAAAGATCATGCTTATAATCAATTATGTCATTTAAAGTACATTAGATTAAGAACCTTTTATAGAATTTTTAGGTTGTAATCAAACTAAAATGGAAGGTTTCCTTTCTAAATAACCAAGGGCGATTACACCTTACAGAAAGTATTAAGTCCTCCGATTTGACGATCATATGTCTCTGATTATATATTTTTAAAAACAAATTCAATCTGCATACTTTTTATATTAAAACAAAAGTTACAAATCTTAGTGTGCACTTTTTACTCTTTTATAACATCTTTTACTTCTAAGGTAAAATTGAGAATAAGATCTACGCAACAAAAAATTGTCTAGTTGATGATTCATCGTTATTAAACACAAGGTTGATAACACTTTTATGTGTACCTTTTATTAAAAAACTCATTTAATAGAAAAAGTAAATGCTATAGAACAAACTTATGGAATACGTCCATGTTATTGTTGTACTTTTCCCTCGCTTTTGTTTTGTTGGTTGTTTCCGATTTACCGCATCCTCCGGTCTCCTCCAAAAAATATTAGCATCATTATTTCGTATAGGTTGTGCTCGTACATTAAGTCACATTAAAAAACGATAGAAAGAGTTGTATTAACGAATTAATTTAATATAAAAAAAATAAGGAGATGAGGTATAAAATATAAAAATAAGATGATGTGGTATAATTGCCAAAGAGACAACTCTCCACCAGAAACCAAATGACACAGAAGTTAACAACTTTAGGTCACCGTACAGCCTTCAACAATGAGCAAAACCCATACCGCATAGTCAGCTATAAAAGGCACCGAAATGACAAATGTAAAACAATTCAAACAAGAAAACTAATGGTCTGATTTGTGTAAAAAAACAATGAATGTTTTCCAAAGAGACAACTATCAACAAAGACAAAAGAACAAGAATTTGAACAACTCTTGTATATGTTTCCTAAATGTTTTCTTCAAAGTAGTTTCATGTTTTACAAAATTAATATATTTTGGACAGGTGTTGAAGATGTCACGGAAATGCGAGAAGCATGGTATGATATTGGATCTGTTTTGCTTGGGACACAATATAGCAGTGTGTGCAAGATGTTCTCAGAGTGACCATTTTAAATGTCCACAGTTTGTATCTGTTGAAGATGCGGCTAAATATGCTAATCCTCTCAGCCAAAGAACCGCCCGATCACAAGACGACTCAAGTGAGCAAAGAAGTCCCGCTAACATTTTGAAGACTGTAAACCAAGAGAAAAACACATTTACAAACTATGTAAAAGCAGCTATAGAAAGTGGCGAAAAAAACACTTTCACAAAGTTTCTGACCACAAATGTAACAAGGAGTGAGAATGATCGTATAGAAGAATCAATGAAAAATTCTACTCCACTTGCAACAAGTCGTGATGTTCAGGTCGACGAAAGCTTTGGAGAAAACAGTACATTCCAAGATCCAAGTGATCCTGATAACTTAGAGAGTTATCGACCGTTGTCAGAGAACTTTCATCATGTAAGCGATAACGCCAACGTCCAACCGAAAGAGACGACTTTATCCAAAGCACATGCAAATTCAAAAACAACAAAGAGCGAAGTCGGACAACTATTAGAAGATGTAAAGAAATTTTCAAAAGGATTATCCTCACGCGACGATGTTGGTATTACTTTAGACGATTTGATTTTGAAAATTGATAGAACACTCAATGAGATAGCAGAAAATTTTGAAAACACAAGGAATCAGAAGAAAACAATCGAATATCAAATAAAAGAAATTCGTGCCAGACTCAATACGCATCTGGATAACATGGAAAAGAAGTTGTTGAATTCACTAGAATCAAAATTCAGCCATTGTGAAGCAAGCGTAGTTAACGTAGTGGAAAAGCTTCAGAAAGGTCGAATCGAGATTACCCACATGAAAAGCGGAAACGCAGACAACCCGAACTCACCGTTTCAAGCAAACACTTTGCTTGCAATCAGAGAAAGTGATAAACAAATGCGAAGAATGAAAAGATCCATCCATGCGCTCACGGAAAATGTTTATGCTATAGATATTGACGTAAAGATTAACCAAGACTTGAATATATTTATCAACGAAGTTCAAGCATTTGGTGAAGTTACTGTAAATAGCCGTTTAAACCCGAAGATATCTCAACCTACTTTAGAACAAAGGCGAATTGAAGTCATTCGTACAGATTCCAAAAGATCACAACCTGGTAGCCCATCGAGAGCAAATAGCAAAGCCATCCAGCGAACCGATTCCAAAAAAGTCAAGGGTGTTAGCAAACTAAAACGCTCCGGTTCTAAGCGGGAAACCATTGAAACAACTAGAAGGCTTGAAACTGTTCAAATTTTGCCGGAAATAGAACTGGGACAGCATTTGGCTGTGATGGATGAACCATTACCGGAAATTATAACAACAAGTCGATCGGGCATTTCGGGTATCAGAATTATGCAGAAGAAGAAAGTTAAAATTGGACATAAATGGACATCAAGCGTCTCAAACTGTAAAATGCTTCCGAACGGTCGACTGATTTTTATAGATACTGAAAACAAGAGGTTAGTCATCCACAACAAAGACACATATGTATATCGAAATCTCAGAGTTCACGATTCTCCGCGTGATTTCACTATCCTTGACAACGATAGGATTGCTGTTACTTTTGGCATATACATCGAAGTATTGAATATTTTAACAAGCCGTATAGAGAAGCGCATCCAGTTAGAATTTTTTGAATGCAACGGAATATCATTTATGGATGGGAAATATTACATTTACGGAATATTTGACGGTTATCTTCTTTCTCGACATGGCATTCAGATCATGGATATGCATGGCCGAATAGAGGATCGGTTGCCTATAACAAGAGTCCAAACGATCCATCATTCAATAACCACATGGAGGGGCAGAATTTATTACACCGGATATAGTTCCGTTTCATGCTGTATGACATCTGGCGAAGAACTTTGGGTATTCAAACACGAGACCATGGATCGACCGAAAAGCGTCACAGTGGACAATTTTGGAAATGTTTTTGCGTCATTTGAAAATGAAAACAAAATAGTTGTTATTTCAGTCGACGGACTTTACAGCAAAGAGTTCGAACTGAGGAAGCATGACCTGTATTATGGACAAGAACCTAGACCTATCAGTGTTTATTTTGACACAATTGAATCGGCGTTAATAGTATGCAATGCAAATAAAGACCATTCCGTGATGTACTTTGTAAAATATGATTAGGCAAATAAAGGTTAGAGAAATACATGTTAAATTAAAATAAATCATATGAAATACTGACATTTTTATTGCTGCACAACACAATTATATGAGCAGATGATTTAGGTAAGGCCAAGCAAAAAATGAATAATTGACAGTCGCATCCATAGAATTTTTGTTGGAAGTAAAACTATGTATATATGTTTTAGCGTAACATCTAACAAATCTTTGATTGTGGTAACATGGGTAATGAATGTCATACGTACATGTATTTTTTGATAAATACTCAAATCTGTCAAAATAGCGGTTTTTAGCTATTTTCATGCATTTATAAGGTGGTAATCTGTTTCGAAATGTCATATTATTATGAGGACCTTAAAGTACATTACATGAAGCTGTAATACTGTGAAGTTAAGTAAAGATTGAGGCCGTTTTGAAAATGGCCCTGATGTGAAATAAATTCTTATTAAGGATGAGAACATAGTAATGATTAAAACAATAGTTAGGAACAGTAGGATCTAAAGCCTGCTATTGGAAAAATGTTGGGTATTGGCAGAATTCCCCACTCCTTCCGGATGAAGTTCCGTATTTAGGTAGCAATAAACAGTTAGGAAAAAATATTAAAATTTACCCTCATAAATGTTACCACCCCCTTTTCATTGCTTTCTTGCAATTTAAGCTTACTGTTTGTGTCATATATGTGAATATGCATGTAATCAGAATCTTTCATAGATTTTATATCCAGTAGTTAAAATGGTAAAATATAATTTCTTTTTGGTGTATCCATGGCAACAATCTGCATTTATTTGTAAAATTGCGTCAAAAACTTCGTGTAGAAAAAAAGTGTTTGTAAACATTACATTAATTTCTGGACCTATATATGGCCGGTCTACTATGAAAATACGGAGAGTCAAACAGAAAATGGGCCATAAAACATGTAAAACATAATCTTGATGTTCTTATAAACCACATTTGAAGGCTAAATTAGTACTCAGCTGTCTAAAAATGAATTTTATTGCACAATAACTTTCATATTTGAAAAATCCACCGCGGCCAAAATGCGAAACCAAACTCCTAACTGTGTATTGCTACCTTATACATCCAGTTATATGGACACCTTGCCCACGCAAAGGTTTATCTGCCGGACTAGAGAAGTCACGGGATGGCCATATTTCTATACCCTACAGGTTTAATTTTCAAAATGTGACGTCCCTGAGTATGATCACCAGCTTGTTAAGCCAGTTGCTTTGCAGCAGGTGGGTCAAACCAGTCTAAACACTTGCCATTCAAATTTTTTGCTGCAATGACATAGTCGACTTTCATGTTTGCAACATTTATAAAAACAAGGAGATGTGGTATGATTGCAAATGAGACAACTATCCACCAAAGTTCAATGAAGTGGATGTAAGCAATTATAAGCCACCGTACGGCCCTCAACAATAAGAAAAACCCATACCGTATATATAGTCGACTATAAAAGTCTCCGACATAAAAATGTGAAACAATATATTAATTCAAATGAGAAAACTAACGACATAATTTACAGAAATCAATTTACGAAAAACAAATATATCGGATATGAACTAAAGACAACTACTGAACTACAGGCTGCTGAATTGGGACAGGCAATTTGTCCATTGTATAAATTTTAACAAAGCAAGAAAAGTAGATAAAACGTAATCAGCTTAACTTTACTTAAATGTTACCTTGCCTAAGCCTGATCCATATATGGTTGATTTTAACTGGAACAACTGGGCCATCGGATTATATTGAAATTTAGAATTTGAGAAAGAGAGGCGAAAGATACCAAAGAGACATTCAAACTCATAATTCGAAAATTAACTGACAACGCCCTGGCAAAAAAAAAGAAAAAGACCCGAAAAAAAAACAACTGTACATAAAAACGCAACATAGAAAACTAAAGACTGAGCAACACGAACCCCACCAAAATCGGGGGTGAGAATTATAATAGGAAAATTCACTAGATACGTTAAAGATGGCCCTCACTGCACCGACTGTATGCGTGTGTAATGGGCGGAGTTCAATAATTAAATCAAAAGTTTCAATTATAAGAAGTTATGTGTATGGTTTTTTTTATTATACCATCATGTAAAGCCTTAAGATAGTAGTCTCTGGGACAGTCTTGGTGGTTGTGTGGTAGAATACCGGCGGAATTTGAGCGAAAATAAAAAATAAGCATGGGACATTTGAGCGAAAATAAAAAATAAACATGGGACATTTGAGCGAAAAAAAAATCATTAAGAATGATGAAGGAGTATATCAGTCTGACATAAACATTCCTCGTTAGTTTCTGCTGGCAGTATACCGCGAATGCAAGTCCAGGAGATTTTGTTCTTTCTCCGAGTCTGTTCGGCTCTGAAATACATCAGTATTCAAACTCATAATTTTGATGTAAGTCACAGATTGTAATTTGGCAACGGTGTCAAGGAAAGTATAAATTGATAGGTGACTATGATAAAATTGCTCATTATGGTTGACGTAGATGAAACCGCGGCCCAGAGATAAGGGGGAAAACAACGATTCGACTGTGATGACATCATGCTATCCCAAACACCCCTTTCAGCCATTTACTGAAATCTTAATCTACCTCTTTGTATTGTTGACTTAATCCAACTTTCAGAATTTTTCGCCACCAGGCTTGTCCTTAGTGAAACCTACATGTATATCAGTTGATCTTAATTGAAGGGAAGCAATATCATATACAGAACCGATCGATTACTCGGGTGTAAAATCAAATAAAATATGAGCTGCGTCGGATAGAAATCGACCTTATGCAAGTGCATGTAACGTATACATGTACATGTATAAGACTTTGATTGATTTTGCAACATTCAAATACGAAAGAAAAGATCATTTTTGGTTTGTTTTGTAGGGTTCTTAGATCAACTCAATTTTCAAACAGTTACAGACTTTGCATAGAGATATTTTCAACCCGAAATAAGTTAACAGATGTATTGATATCAATTTGCATAAGGTCGATTTCTATCCGACGCAGCGCAAATATTTATTTTGAAAACTTATTCTTTTTTCTTACTATTTAAAAATATTTTCTTAATTCATATAAAAGTATCACAGGAAATTTCGCCCAAACGTCCTATTTGCTCAAATGACACTATGTGCAATTTTTTCTCTCTCACTCAAACGTCCTATGCCCGTTCTTAAATTTGTGGCTGGAGTTATACGAAATCATCGGATGATGTTACCATGATATAATATGTTAGATACCCTCTTTACGCTGAAATTTTAACAAATACGGTGAAAAAAACCCTTCGAGGTTACAAGACGGTGATTGTTTAAAAGTGCTTTTTAAAAGAATGTAAATATGTATATAAAAAAAGGATATGTATGGCAAGCCGTTTTTATATTTATTCCGTTTTCAAGATATCTGATACAGTTGATAAGATATCTTATAAACTAAAAAAGATATTGTTTAAACTAAGTAGGATATCTTATAAACTAATTGAGATATCATATGAATTAAATGAAATGAAATATCTTATTGCGTTAAAATAAAATTAAGAATGGAAACGGGGAATGTGTCAAAGAGACAACAACCCAACCACAAAGCAGAAAACAGTCCAAAGCCACCAATAGGTCTTCAACTCAGCGAAAAAATCCCGCACCCGGAGGCGGGCTTCAGCTGGCCCCTAAATAATAATGTATACTAGTTTAGCGAAATGGACGCCACACTAAACTCCGAAACATATGTAAATGAACTAAAAAAAAACACACACACACTAACAAAGGTTAAAGGTTCCAGACTTCCAGGCAGGCGCATAAATGCGGCGGGGTTAAACATATTTTGTGAGATCTCAATCCCCCTAAATTCCTCTAGCCAATGTGGAATAAACAAACACACAGCAATACGCACAGTAAAACTCAGTTTAAAAGAAGTCCCAGTCCGATGCTAGAATAAGTAAGAGAAGAAACTAAGCAAAATAACAATGATCAACATAATTATATCAAAAAAGGACTGCTAGCAGTTACTGACATGCCAGTTCCAGACCTCAATTATGTCTTCATCAAATGAAAATCAAGCACAATCCCTCCCGTTAGGGGTTTAATATCATACCATCATAAATTATACGAGAAGAACTAAACCCGTATCTGGTTTATTTAAAAAAAATATTTTATAAACTATAAACAATATCTTTTAAACTAAATCAAATATCTTATTAAATAATTGAAATATCTTATAGATTAAATAAGATATCTTATAAAGTATATCAGATATCTTGTGTTCTTATTTAGGTGAAATGGGAGTATAAATCAAAAATGATAGACTGTTTATATACTTTGCCAAAATGTAGTATATATTGTGATATTTTTAAAAGTATAATGAAATGATAAGTCACCGAGTTTTTTTTAAGGTTGTGAAAAAATGACACATTTTGTATGGATTATACAGGGAAAACATCATTATGTGATTAGAAGGTAAACTAAATGATAGAATTGTGAAAGGAAATACGATAAGATAGCTCATAGAAAATGCTTTCAGAATATCAAAAGAACAGATAGGGTCATCGTACGTTTTCCCTGATATAGCATAAAATAGAAAAAAAAACATGTAGTACATTGTAGAGGTTTAATATCATGCCATCGTAAATGTACTATTTCGAGTTACCTCCCCTTAATACGACAATTGAAAAAAAATCAAAATCAAGGAAAAATCATCTACTTTTGTAAAGTTATTAGTTATCATAAGTTAAAATCTTATTTTGTTTATTCAAATGAAAATTCAAATGAGTAAATTACATTCCTGCATAAAATTTCGATTGACGAGTTTATGAGCTTCGGTCCTGTTGCCTGGGTTTGTGACTGGATGATGTGATAGCAAACTTGACTGGATGATGTGATAGCACATTTACTTTCCTTCCGACTAATTTTGAATGTTGTGATAAAGATAATTATGAAGGTCTGGATGGGGGGTCCTTAATTTCTGTATTCTTTAATATTCTAGGGCATTTTGCTTTATCTTTAAAAATAACGCGCATTGTTTAAAATTCTCATAACAATTCTTTTACTATTTTTTTTTCTGTAATTGGACGATTTCTGTATTC